TACAACAATAAAGTTTTTTAGCAATACGATTCGATTTTATAATTTCCTTTAGCAGTGAACGTGTTAAAGGCAAGCAGCACAACCACTCGGATACCAACACTTATTGCTAACCATTGCTAACTAACCGAACAAATGCCATAATTGGTCCAATAGCAATGTCCACCGGTCCCACCGGTCGCGCTGAAGAGTGTTTGTCACACGATAGAGAGTAAATTTATGTGACAAAGTTTGTGACAGACGAGCGTGTGTCACTGACAGGTGACACTTAAAATGACACATCTGACCACAAAACGGTTGTATTGTTTATGAATCGTTTCATCGTTTTCGGAACTTTTGTTTGTCGAACTAAAAAATGTGTGATTGGTTGCGATTATGTAATGAACTCTACTTGTGATATGTTGTTGGTTTATATTCGTGTGGAAATGAGTAACAGTGTTTAAATTAAATGTATTAATGGGAAATAAGGGAAAAGGTAGTTTTTAGGGTATTTTGCCTTTGGGTTTTGTTGTTTACTTATTAGCCCACTAAAACATTAAAATAGCAAATAGCATACAAATAAATGACTAGTTGTAGCTAGTTGTTTAGTACAAGAAAGGATTAAGCGTATCGTTTTAGTATGACCGTTTTAGTATCGTTAGTATGAGCGGGGATGAAGTTATTTCTCTATATTGTTCACACAATGATATTATAATTAGACGAGAATTGTTACTTGCAAGTTGCCAGTGTTCAAAGTCAATGATTCAATTTATGGTACAAAATAAAATTACCATTCTAAACTTCTGAATTTATTAAAATAAGAGGAAATGTATAATATTCGTCTATTGAAAGGACAATGCTCAAAGAGCTATAAAATATAGCATCTTTTATGGCCCATCAACCACCGAGATATAAAAAACTAGGGCATAAAATAAAATTGTCACAGCCACTAAACAATGTTCTACAGTATTTCTATTTGATTTGAAAAATAGCTGTAGCTGGTCCATATAGTGTTGTTGTGTCTACCAAAATATGAATAATACCATTGACCCAATTCCACAAAGTCAGTAGCTTCTAGCTTCTTTACATTTCAAATATTAGTCAAGCGCCACAAAATCTCTGCAAGTAAACAGCTCAAAACTAAAAGAATGCAACTTTAATAGAACTTTCATCAAAGACCACCGCAAACACTGGAAGTAACGACGTAACCGACGGCTTGTGAAGTGGCAGAACCTCACGAACCACGGTTGTGGTTGTTGGTTGCGGTTGCGACAAAAGTACCTGCGGTTATACAAGGTCGTCCGTGTTTGCAGAACTAATATACCGACCAAACTTGCTACCCGCCCAAACCACATTTCGGCATGAATTACATTGTAGTGGCACGTACGGTACAAAGGTAGTTTTGAAATTGGCAATCGCATCAGGCTGTTTCTGGCTTACCTACACGCAAATTACTTATTTGTGTTATTTTACTGTTGTAACTCGATAGCGTACCAGGGCTTCCATGCTATTAGCAAACAGCCTTGGCTAGTACGACATACAACTCCTGCTGTTGCATTTTGGCAATCTTCTCTCACAAAAGCCTGGACAATTTTTAATCTAGTTTTCTCAAAATCCGGCCAAACAGCCAAGAGCCGACATATTTATTTATTTTTTTGCTTTTTAAGTTGGTTTTGGTTACTGTTTGCAATTTTAACATTATTAATATTTATATACCATCAAGTTTGCATAACTGATTTTCATTGTTTTCATTCCTTGGTACATGCACTTTATCAGGACTCCATTCAATATGACTTAAAGGTTGTCCAGTGATCAGTTATGAAAGTTTCAATAACTTCAGGCTCACAACTTACAGTTAAGTTTTATCATTCGTGATTAAACTTCATGAATTACGTGTAACATTTTAAGCCACGTTTTATTAATAAACACCTGCATTATTCTTTTAAAAGTAATTGAGAACAAAAAGTGTAACAAAATAATATTCAGTTGTTGAATAGATTTTCAAAATGAGTAGATAACTCCATAGTAGATAACTTTTCATTTAGATAGATACTAAATGAGTAGACATGTTAGTAATAAATAGGCATCACTGGTGTGCATTTTCTAAATGTAAACTTGTCGTACTCGTTGAATTAATCGTATCCCTAATATTTCGATTTAGAGAAGATTTTTTAATCTTAGTAAGTCATGTTTTGTGTTCCTATACTTGTATGCATTTGAATGTAAAGCGTGCACTCATAATTAAAAAGACCAAATCTTTCAACGTTTTAGTCATTACTGAATTTGAATTGGAGCTGAAACCAAACATTGTAAAACTGAATATTGTTTATTCCATACCCAATATGTATGGAGTAAAAGGGGCTTTTACTGCATACATCTTATTTGAACTATCGAGTTCTACTTAGAGGGTTACATTTTTTGACCGTCTAAACACAAAATTTCCCAATTTCTATTGCCAATTAGTTTAACGTAGGACAAAGTAGAAAATGTGTTTGGATGTTCTCGCAATTGTAGTTTGATAGTGATGTAGAGTCATGACAAATATTTGTACTTACACATTTTTGGTTGCTAGATATTATTGCTTATTTGATCTCAAATATCTGTCAAAATGAGAAAAAGCGAGTTCGTCTTTGATGTGCATTAGAGTATTATATTGTCTGTGGTATAATGCTAGAAACATGCGGATATATAATTCACCAATAGAAGAAAATAGAAATATCAGAGCTGGCGCTAACTTATAGATCAAACAAAAATAAAATGCTAGGTAAAATAATTAAACAAAAATCATAAACTATCATAAAAATGTCATTAATAACAAAATGAAATTACTACAAGCAGAAAATCATAAGATCAAAAAATATTAGTAAAGATGTTTGGCAAATAATTCATCAGGAACCCGGCTCATGTAAGTTGAATACAAAAAACATACATTTAGAAACACACAATACCACTGTTACTGATCCTTTACATGTAGCTACTTATACTTTTACTAATACTTTTAATGATTATTTCATTAATATTACACAGGAATCGTTAACTGGCAATAGTTTTGGTTCTGCCAATGAAAATTGTAATCAAGTAGATAGGAATAATATCAAAAATCCTTTCCATTTAAAGGCTAACACCAGTTGATGAAAAAGAAATACCAACCATCATTCAAAATGTAAAAAACAAACCTGCTAGTGGTTATGATGAAGTGTCTATTAAAGTGATGAGAAGTACAGAAACATTTGTCCCAAAACCAATGTTTCCTTAGGTTTGGGACACCCTTTGATCTTTACCGACTTCTGGTGGGGAAACAAAATTTCTGTTGTAAACACTAAAATAAACTGTTTCTAACTACAAAAGTAGTGTTATAACTCCGGTATAAATGCGGCATTAGGTTGTCTCTGACTTAGTGGCTTGATAGTGAAAAAAGTTTGGTAAAATCAATAATTTTGAAATACTTACAAATTACAACCAACTTGGCCACTAAACGGCAAACGCACACCTCAGAACAAAGTACGAGCTACAGAAGAGAACCTACAATTCATAATCACAATTCAACACACCTACACCTACAAGTTCAATTCATAGCCTACAAGTTCAAGTTCTATCTAAGGTTCTAAGCAGTGCAACACAATTACTGGACGACAATGCATTGTTGAACTTTGACCAATCACACAGCGTTATCATGACATCATCCCAGCTGATTCTTGACAATTATTTTGCTTTATCAGATGTGTATTGTATTATCTACAACTAGCCCGGTACCGGTATTAGTTTTCATTTTCATGTTAACCGAAGACATCTATATATTGTCATTTAGGACTCAAAGTGTTAAAGTGGTAAACAACGATATAACCGAATGAAATACTAACTTGAAATAAATAGTGTTTGTATTACTTTCTTAAATATTTGCTACCATGCAGCTAAAGATAATAAAGCTATATTTCTGTCCGGTGCGTAAAGAACGTTTCTATATTTTTAAATTTTTATTTAGTTATGTGTTGAAGTATAATTTCTTGTTATTTCGCAAACATGACGTGTTACCCAATAAAATGATTTATTCTTAATTTAGGCATATTGCTTGTTTTCTGTTATTAGAACCAAAGAATGAAGAGTAATCAGTAAAATTAAAATAATAGAAAATATAATCAACATTACCTCACTAAACTTTGCCGGGCTTAAAACATATATTAGGCTATATCAAACGGTACACTTGTTTAAAATGGATGTACGATCCCATTCAAATATACAGTAGGCTATACAAATAAAAAACATTGTATTAGTTGTGCTATTAGAATCCGCGATGTTTGATACAAAGGGATAAAATGAGGGTAAATTTTCTTGAATAATACTTTACCTAACTTAGGGAAATTATACTAGCCTATGAATTAATTCAGTAACTTGATGTTACTGACTTGTGCAGTTTAAATAAAGAACTCACATTTCAATCAGAAATTCCAAAAGAACCATTGTTGAAGTGCAAACAAATTCTTAAGTGCGCAACTTACTTACTTCATACTTCTTACTTCATACTTCTTTTCTTCATCTTTGACCAGCAGTTGCTTGATAGATTGAGTCGATACTAACTAAACTAATATTTAGAACTATGCAGTCCATCGTCACAAAGAAAAATAAAAACTTAAACTTGAATTTACTGTTTGAATATTTACAGATTGGCGGCAGGATTTATGGTTTTTTGACCTCTTCAAAAAATTCTTCAATAGAGAAGAGAGGTGTTTTTTTCAGCCATTTTTCAATTGTTCGCTTAAACTTGCGGGGATCAAGATCCTTGGTACTAGCTGGCAATGCATTATATAGTTTCATTGCTAGTATCGGGAAACAGTTTTTCTTCTTACTTAGCCTACAGAATGGCACATCGAGTTGGTCTTTACCTCTGGTGTTGTAGGAGTGATGTTCTGCTCGTTTCGTAAGGGACAAGTTGTTCTCTTTACAAATTTAACCAAACCAATTTAAGACAAATTCAAAAACCAATAAACAAATATTTAACTTAAAATTTTATTTTGGATGTCAACTCACCTTTTCAGTATCCACAAGTCAATAGGATCCAGAGATGATAATCCACAACACTAGACACTACACACGCGACGCGATGTCCGCAGTTACGGTTAGCGGACAGACGTGCGGACGCGACCGACACCGGCGGACGACTGACTGCGGAGTGCGGACGACCAGTCACGTGATATCTGCCTCAAGGTCATGTGACTGATACCACTCAGACATGACCGAACCTGCCCCAACATGTCTGCAAAAGCCTCACTGATTAACTCCAGTCTAGAGTTGGTCAAGATGTTTTGTTACACTTTACTGTTGGAAAAGTTGGGAAACCTTAAACTTGGTTTTTAAACAACGATTTTATTTTAACTTACTAAATAGGGGACTGAAACCATACACACAACGGAACAAATAATATTATTGAACATACTAAAAACATAACATAAGTTCTAAATTTAAATACTTATAAAACATACCATGTTCTAAATTCAAATACTTATAAACAGTCTTTTCATAAACATTAGAATTGATCTTCAACAGTTTCGAACCAATGAATTTGTTCCAAAAGGAATGAAAGAATTATCATTCTTGAGTAGGCCAGGCCTAGGACTACCAGTTGTAGGTAAGTTACAACTAGAAGAGAACAGTTAAATCAGAATGCTTATCCTTTAAAAGCAAGATGAATCAGCAATCAGCTTAAAAGGTAATTAAAGTTGAAGATTGTTAGGTTATAGCATTGGGCTATAAATCCAGGGTCTGACTTAGGGGAGGTACAAATGAGGCATTTAGTTCAAAATTCCTTCGTGAACAGCGCTGTAGTAGAGAGCACTTTGGCAATAAAGGTTTACTAATCGCAAAAATAGTTCTGTTCATAAAATAAAATTATAAATGCCTCAAATTCAATTTTACTATTTTTAATTATAAAATTAAACTATCATAACCTAACCGAACTAACCAAACTTGCTGATAAAGAAATAATATAACAAAAGTTTAGTAATCAGAAAAATAATTCTGTTTATTAAATAAAACTAGAAATTGCTCAATTAAAATGTTATAATGACTTAATAATAAAATTAAACTGTAATAACCAAACCAAACCAACCAAACTTGCTGATAATAAAAAAATCTTGGACAAAAAGTTAATGCTACTAGCGGGATTCGAACCCGGAACCTACAGTATACCAGCCCGGCACGCTAACCATTAGACCACCGAGGCCGATGGCTACCGAACGTTTTGTTACGGTAATGGCGTTCCCTCAGGTAATAAGAAGCCCTCAGCTGTCATCGTAGCCTCTTCTATACCTCCCCTGAGTAAAAACCATAAATCCAGATGGTTCCAAACTGGACCCAGCTGTACTTTATCAGGCTTTAAAAAATTGAAGCTGTATAAAAAAGATGAGCTGATCTTCAGAAAAAAGCTACACCACGCAAGGCATCTAAAACCATTCCGCACTCATCCCTTATTCATATCCGGGTTTTAATGTGTTGGCCTAGTTGCAGTAGAGGTATTACAAAATTGTATATTTATTTTTCTCTGCCTTGCATGGCTTGCAGCATGTAGTTTTAATTTTTTTTCATTTTTAGTATGCATGCACTGCTTTGCATGTTTTGTATTGACTACTAGCTGAACCCGGCAGACGTTGTCTTGCCTTTGACTATTTATAGTTTAAGTACCGTAACGTTTAATTGTCTTATTGTAAATGAAGTGCTTATAACTAAATTAAAATACGTACGACAACTAATGAAACACATATAGTACAAAGGATAACCGATTCTTTATTATTGCTCTTATATCAATGCTAGGTTATGCTAGCTTAATTATTAATGGTTATTTTCATTCATGGTTATTAATGACAGCATTTTCAAGATGATCTCGTTCGCATGGCTCAATCACGTCCTGGTTGAAGTTCGTTCGCTACGCTCACTCACCTTTAGGTTGGAGCTCGTTCGCTACGCTCACTCACCTTTAGATTGGAGCTCGTTCGCTGCGCTCACTTGCCTTCAGGTTAGCTCGTTCACTATGCTAACTCGCCTCCAGGTTGAAGTTCGTTCACTATGCTCACTCACCTTTTGGTTGCAAATTAGCTGTTTTGTCATAAATGTAAAAGAAATAATAGTGCTGCACCCTGTTGGTAATCCTTGTAACTTTAATGCTATTGAACATCATAGAACAGAACCAACTTGTTTAATTGAAACAGCTGTTAAGATTCATTAATTCCATTTCTCATAAGGTTAACATGGGAAACTCCAGAGCCACTGGGGCGGAGCCGATTGGACGGATCACAAAATTGATGGTGTATAAACCTATTCCATGAAATTCTACACGTATGTACCAAGTTTCGTGGCAATCTGTTCAGCGGTGTCTGAGTTTATCACTGCCAAATATATATACAAACATCCTCTTTTATACTTATAGATTGAGTGAGATCCTGCATGTGTTCATTTCAGCTTTTAATCTTGTTAGTCAAGAGTGCAAGAAGAAGTTTGGCATGTTTATTTATTATTTATTGTTATTGTTTGACATAGCCTATTGTTTGTATGTAAGTGAATGGCCAATAAAATCATTTGAATCATTTGCATCTCCATTGTAATTAATTGGCAAAGTACTGACTGTGAATGTGAATGAAAGTGTTAACTTTTATTCATAGAGTGTACTATTATGAAATTGTGTTTCCCTTTCATTTTTCATATTATTATTGTTTATGGGGACATAAAGATTACATAGCTTTGCCCTTTCAGTTTGGCCTTGTAAAAAGTAGGTGTTTGTTCAAGAAAGAGCAATATTTTATAGCACCGCTAGCTCATTCTGTCTGTCACCGTCTCAATTAAAGTAAATCAAATCAAAATTCTTTATTTATTTCATGCACATAGGTACATATAAATAGTGTCAAACAATTATATTAAAAATACATCAGTCCCTGAACCTTAACTATTTTAACAAAATTCGTCCTGAAATATACTTTTTAGTTCTTTTGTGAATTGAACTACGGACTACGGGGAAGAGTTTTTAAATCTAAAACTAGCAACAACTTTAAGATGGAAATGAATGTCTACTTCATACGTACAGTAGGGTCTTAAGATGATTCAAATGTTGTATCGAGGACACAGTGTGTATTTTTTTAGCTAGGGTATGTTTGTTGAAAAGATAAGTGTGGAGGGGTGTTCTTATAGTTTGGTGTGTTTATAGTTGTAGATTTTAAATGTCTAGAACTGTGTCCAAAACCTCTTTACAGAGGCTAAAGCCCCACCTCCCTCAACCCCAAGAACCACAAGAGACCATTAATTTATGGTGGGCCCTCCGCTCCAAGTATGCCACACATTCTAATCATTATGGATTGCATAAATTATATATGGGATTCGAACCCACGCATGTAGAAAGACCTCAATGCTACAATCGTCAGTCCAAGCCAACTGAGCTAAAAAGACACCTTTTAACCGGACTACACTAGGCAGAAGTGACATCAGTATAACCGGACTGGATCGGCAAGAAGTGGGCAGTAACGAAACAACATTTCTAGTGAGAATGATTTGAGACCAGTGATCATGTGTCTAAAAATACAATGATCTCCCAAAGTCAAGTAAAATATTTGGGTTAGTTTTCAAATGATTCTCAGGACGTCCCTAATTTAACGAGTTTTACAGGACGTCAGTGTAACCGAAAAAAAAACACTATCTGGATTAGCCTCAGCCCCGAGAAGTCCAGATAAGAGGGAGTCTACTTAGGCCGGGGCCACACTCATCTTATCTCGCTGAATTTTTTCCACGGGCGTTACACGTGGGTTTGAGAGATACATTACGGTATATGGGGCAGGCCACACTTGAGTAAAAACGTCCGTGAACGTGTTTGTCAACTGAATTGCACGTGAATTCTCTACTAACATTCCACGGGCGTTCCACGTATAACTAGTCGCGGGGCATTGCGGCTTATGGGAGTGAACACACTCATCTTATCTCGCTGAATTTTTTCCACGGACGTTTCTAGTTTTAACCTGACTGATGTACTGTACAGTGAGCGTGGAGGGGAGGAGCCGGAACACGGACACTACTTGAGGGCCAGTGGGTTAACAGTATGATTATTATAACAGGTTACATACCTTGACGAACACAATTCCTCAGTCAAAATGACGTTTAGTAGTTTCGACTACTAAAGTAGTCACTTTCAAAATGGAACTGTAAAATGAAAATGACTACTTAGTAGTCCTAACTAGTCAACGGAAGTTTGACTAAAAGATGGTGGACGTCAAGGTACGTAGCCTGTTATAATTGATTACCAATTCCGGAAGGCTTCAACATGAATAGTATGATTATCTTGCAAATACACACAATAACTACACTTACATGTTGTTGTTAATGTACTTCATGAAAGACAAAAGAAAATTTTATGGAAAAGTATTTACCTTTTTTAAGAAAATATACACTTAAACCGAACACGATTAGGAATTGGTAAGTAACGACCAAAAGTAATTGTAAACATCTTGTATTAAAATATGTCCATTTACCTTTTAACAAATACACCACGTAGTTTTCATATCTAAAGGTGTAAGTTACAATAGAAAATACACATAGCTTGAGTATAATCATACATGGAAATTTGGCATTTTAATAATGAACCTAAGAAACTTTTGTTGAAACAATATACTAGCATGAGACAAAATATGCAACAAAATTTTACTTAAAGTAAGATTTCAACATAAAAACTATACAAGCGTACAAATGTTTATATTAAAAATGCTAAGTTTTGCAAACTTTTGAGCTGAATTTATTTTGATTATTGTTTAGGTATTTTTCTGAAACACCTGGTCAAAGTATTAAAAATAATAAACATCAAGCCATAAGTTGTCCAAACAACAAAATTTACAAACAAGAAACAATTGATATGAAAATTCAGGTACCTCAAAAACATAATAACTTTTATGAACAAAATGTACAAACAACTATTTACAATTTATTCTTTTCATGGTTACTTCGAAAACTAACTTTACCCTCTTTACTCTATTCTACAAAAATGAAACACGTTAGCTACAGAACGTTCAGTTTCATTATTTTAACAGCAAATTAGCTTTAAATTATTCAACATTATAACACCCAAAAATGATAGAGAATATTTCCAATCAAAATCATAATACGAATTAAGGAGGATAATTGTCATAGAACACCTCAGTTTTTCATATAAAATTAAGGAGGATATTTTTAGTCGACCTGACTGCAGTAGAATTCCAGAATATTTCATTGAATGAAATGGCACCAATAAGCGAATTAAAAGATATAAAATAGTTACAAATGCTCAAAACTCATTTTAGCAAAAATGAATTAGTAAAAATAACACATTAAGGCATATCTATCATACTGGATGAATTATATTGAATGTATAGGACTAATATATTTTGAATAACAGCATATTCAATTTAACCAACCTTAATTATACTTTGTACAATATTATTGCGGTTATAGAAGATTGTAAAAAGTTAAATCTTACATGTCGTACATAGCGATAACATAGCTTTGGTTTGCTGCCTTTCAAATTGAGCAAACAATTTATTTGCATTAATTATACTTTAAAGATCACATAGAACCATTTCTGGTCTTTACATTCTTTGACTATGGGAATGAACACAACAAGTAGATAAAGACTGAAAAATAAAAAAATAACAATAAAAATAGAAGTACTTTAAATATTGTATTTTCTGAGCCTTTAGGCCACAGACTAATAATTTTTTATTTTTAGAGGGATTTTATAGTTTATCTAAAGGAAATGAAGTACAGTTTTTACCATGTAAATTGCTGTTCTTGGATGAAAATAGTAGGAAAGTCAATGAATCCCAAAAAAATAGTTTGTCACTTTCAAAAAAATTCTGTGTTTGAAAACATTTTACAAACCAATAAGCCTACAAGTCATAACTCTAAAAAGTCTTATCTTCTGTACGATATCGATATCCATAGTGAATGTTAAAACTTTGATGGATTTCCCTTGAAAAATCTGATAATGCAAAACTTTATAAACCAGGCAGCAAACCATTTTACCTAAGTATAAAAGCAGCTACTGATACAAACTTACATTAAAGGGGTTAAAGAATACAAAAATATATCTCACATCTATTGGAATGTGAATATGTTGTAGTGGTGTAAAACAATGAATACATTGGGACGGAGTTTAAATCAAAGTTACAGCTTTTACGATTATTTCATATCAAGTCTTCATTATGTAGTATAATTTAGAAGATGATAAGTTATACAGTAGTTAATAATAAATATTAGTTATATTAGTGTTGAACACTTTTCAATTTTGTTTTAACAAAATTATAATTGACTACTTGAGCCTTTCATTTTTCATTTTGCTTAGTTTCCTTCAAGGAAATCAGAATCACAATCCATAAAAATATAATAGAATGTCTATTATACTTTAGCCTCCATTCTAAATTCAAAACCTGATTTGAAAACTCAGTTACTGTTTAGAATCCATCGCTTTTGGTTGGCAAGCTGTTTTTACTTATTTTTAGCATAGTTGAGAAAGCACTATCTCAATATACAAGAACAGTTTATCACGTTTAAAAAACCTTATTCTTTACCTATTGTTAAATTTAGATTACGAAGATTTCTGTATTAAGTCTTATATATTTTTTTAAATTACTCACTAAACAATGTGACGCAATAGTATAAATTGAATTATCAACTATTATTAGAAAACATCAACAAGTCTCAGCAAATTATTACTTGTTTTTTCTGTGAGTATCTAAAATCTTCTCTGATTTAATTTATTCGTTTTCTATGTTTGCATCACCAAGAGTAATACAAGAAAAGGCACCTTACACAGGATACAACTTAAATGCATTCAAAATGGTGTATGTAGGACACCAATAGGTATAATTTACAATTATGATAATTAGTAGAACTATTACCTGAGTAGGATCATGTTTTTACCAGTATACAATAAATGCCTCTGTAAAAATGCTGGTAGTCTATACAACCACAGAGAAGTAAGGTACAAAGGAGACTTGTTTATGGGACAACCGCACGCTTTCAGCTCTAATCGGAAATATACTTGTAACAGCAAGGAAGAGCCCGAGCGGTGAGCACAGTGTGGAAATTCATATTGCACAGGGCACAAGGACTTCCTCCGCCTAGTGCGTTGTAGTACATGATGGCAAGGGGGGCAGTGTTGGACTTTGTCCTAGACACCAACACTAGTGCTAGACACCAACACTAGTGCTAGACACCACTTAAGTGTGCCAATGAATATTTCCTCTATACCTTCTTCTCAGTGATACACATCTTACCAAAACTATTGTTCAGTTGGTAGTTGAGTAAATTGACCATCAAATGTGTTAGTTTGAAGATGGAAAACAAACCAGATTGATCTTGATTGTATATTAAATTGCAAACAAAATATTTCCAGAGGAAAAAGAATCACTAGAATAAGAATAGTGATTTTTGAAAAAAAGAAACATCATTCATGTTGTGACTATATAGAGGAAAGAGTGGATAGAAGTTTTTTTTAATTCTTGAGGACCGAGCAAAACTATTAGTTTTAACGAACAAAGATCTTCAACAGCCTTTGGGAAACATACATCTTTGATAAAAATATCAACTTAAGTCACACAGCTACTAGTATAGACAATTAACCAGTTCAAAAAAAAAAAAAAATTGTATTGCCGTGTAGTTGGGAGGCACGCTACTTGGCATGGCATACCGTAAGTCCCCTTTATTGTAAGGACAAGGAACCTTTAAAAATGAATTGTGTGCCTTATAAAAGTGTCTGTGAAAGTAAAAATTAAATTAGTAAAAAATTAGGATTAAACCAACCAAAAATATAATGACTGTGTTTGTTTTCCTAGAAAGGAATCATAGTTAATTAATCAGTAAGGAAGGAGAGCTTTAGTATTTTTTCACCCTATTGTGGTAAACTGATTAACGTTCCAAAAATGTTACAAAACCCAACAAATTTTTTTAACATCATTTTAGCGTAGCGTAGTAATAATTTACTCATCAACCAAAAAGTATTCAAATCTCCTTAGAGTTGACTAAAAAAAATTGACCGTTACAAAATTTAATTTGTAAATTTTAATTTCTTTTTGCGTTGAACTATTACAAAAATAAACACCATCAGTCTCCGCCCCAATACACCGGAGGTTGTAGGCACTAGTAGCACTCGTGTTGGCTAATGTTGCCGCTCTGCGTGTTTCTTGCTCATCACCTGATTGGTCGAGGTTCTCCCGCCACTATTGATAGAACAGCGCAGCCTCTGCTTCCTCTTCTTTTCGTCACTGGAGTCGCTTGTGTCAAAGCCTGAGTCATCCTGATCTGCCTTCGCTTCGTCTCCTGTCTCGCTTGGGGACAAACTCGCTCTAGCCAACTCGGCTTCGTGGTCGGTGATTCGCTTGAGTATGCACCTCATCAGACCTTCAAAAAAGTCGGGGTATCCGTCGTAACCTGCAAAATATCAATTGAGTCTTGCTGTTTGAATACGGTCGGGAAAAGTAAGCAAATAAGACAAGATGATGGTTTCTCAAGAAAGGATTGGAAAGGAATTTTGGGATGAAAACGGAACATCAGCCCACTATGGTTGTTTTCTAGCTGTGGATCAGAAAGGAAATATCTTTAAAAAAACAGTGCTTAACAAACAGATTAATGTTGATTTTGTGTAATAGTAGTAGAATACACTTAACTGCTGGATTGACCAACTCTTGCTAAGACTGAAATTCTTAGGAAAGACAACCATGTCGCTATAAATAAAATAAATGAAATGGGTGTCTTAAAGCTATTATACTTTGTTCACAAAATATAGGCGGTTTTAGGGGAAGAAATCTATCCCCTCCACTTTAATCTACCTCTTTGAAATAATAGCTCAACAGCTGAGGTTTGCCAAAACATCAATCAGCTGTACCATTTATATAAAGAAAAAAAGGTAGTGAGGGAACTTCCTCTCAAACCGTATAGTTTTTCTGAACGGAGCATAGGTTTCACCAACAATCTAAGACTGATGGACTGAGAGATAACGATGCTACAATCAATTTTTTCCCAAGAACTGTGGGTATCTCAATTGCCTTCAGCAATTAACATACCACGAGTTTACCACAGTTTGGATATTTGATCTTAATGAAACAGCTAACAATTGCAGAGTTTGTATTTATTAGTTCAAGTACTGAGAGTTATAGTAAAAAATGACCTAGACATTAGGGATTGTCGCCTTTGACTATTGATGGACCTAGTCATTCTATCCCCATGTTAAAACTGTTGCTAGTTTTAAATTAAAATGGACTTGGTTGAATTGAGCTCATGACAGATTGCGCTAATGTAAATTACTGATTTCTGTTGAAAAAGAACACCAACTGTTTAGTGAAGTAAAACTATGGGGCAACTTATTCTAGGCTATAGCACAGAGATTTAAGGAACAGAGGATACACTCTCATGGTACACGTCTAAGGCAAAGTCCAACACCTCCCCCCTTGCCCTTATGTACAACATTCACAGGAAGCCCCTGAGCCCTCAGTGATAGGAATTTCCACACAGTGCTCGCCATTCGGGCTCTTCCTTGCTCGTCACAAGAACATTTCCGCCCCAACAGACCAGAGCTGAAAGTGCACAGCTATCCCGTAAGTGTATTTCCTCCTGTGGCTTACTTCTCTGTGGATATAGCATCTTTTATTTACCAATAACTACCTCAGAAACAAAAAATAAAGTATAAAATACTAAAATAGAATTTCAGACACTAGCACACTCTGTAACTGGCTTATTCAACTATATTCTTTTAAATAAAAATTGGCGACAGCTGATCCATGATAAGTCTAACTGGGATGATATCGCCAATGGCAACTAAATAATTAAATAGACTAGTGAATATTATAGACCTGGGTAGGCGTTGATGTCAATAACAGCATGACGTCCCGTTGTGTTGTCCACCACCACGTCAATACTCAACAGGTCCATACCCAGTTTCTCTCTAACAGTCTTTGTTATGGTTGCCAGCCTCTCTGGGTCAACAGCTACACTGTGTGCAAGATATCAATAAACTTGTGAGTATTGGAGTAATGACTATTTTCCACACACTAACAACTGAAAATTCTCATTACATCAGTTAAACTAACGAGGAACTAACTCTGTTAGGCTACATGGGAGCGTTGCAACGCGCGTTGTCACATGCTTCAGATAAGCCTTTGCGTACACAAGACAGCGTTGCAACGCGCGTTCGAGCAATTCGTATTATTGAGACATGGCACGTCCCGGTATAGCCATGAAAGTCGAAAAGGTAGTTTTTGTTTGGGATTTGTACCATAAAAATAAAGTACAAAAAAAAGTAAAAATACCCCCATTGCAGCTTCATTTATATATTTAAATTATTTAATATTATGAATTTTTGCCTTTGTGAACATCAAAATGAAAAACCAAAGCGGTCCCGGGTAACCGTGACGGGAAAAATCCCCTAAGAACACTTGGGATATCCAATTTTACACGAACGTATAGCTCGTATGTTTGTTTTACTTTGTAGCCTAATCGTTTATTTAATAACCTAATTATATAAACGCAAGCTTTTTAATTACTAAAGCATGCTCATTGCTTCATTTAACGTAAGTTAAAGTATGTCTAGCACCTTTTAAGAGCATTGTTAGGGATTATTAAGAGAACCTCGTGATTACCATAAGGTATTGGTATTGTATATAGAAGTACTCAGTAAACATACATAAAACGTACTCCTCTCTACTCCAAAATGCGCGTTACAATGCTAACATGTGTACGGTCCCATTAGAACCTTCGTAACTCAAGGCGCGCGTTGGCCGAAGCGCTGTTTGATTGTTGTTTTTCTAGGACGCGCGTTGCAACGCTCCCATGTGTACATGGTCTTAGCATTAGTCAGAAATGTGGTAAAATTACATAACAAATTTGTTTTTACTACAGTAAATGGGAGAACATTGCTCCTGTGGTCACCACAACTATCTCCATCTCTTAAAACCACAAACACACAGCAAGGGCAACATTGTGATCATTACCAGCAATTACGAACCCATATTCTTGTTCCTCAAACTCAGAAATATCTGTGATCATCTTTCACAATTGCCTGATGATTGAGTTTCTTACTACCTCCCGATCTTAAACAATTCTTCAGGATAACATGTGCATATTTTTTGTGACAGATAGGGATCAGGCCGGATAAGGGCGGAATCGTAGCAAAATCAAAGTGTCATGGCGGACCTCACCTCGGAGACAAGAGAGCAGTATAGGGACACCGGTGTGATGTTTCCAATGTAGCTGCATCCATTATCGACAGACTCTAGCCAAATTGGGTATGATTCTGATTCAAGATTAAGTTCAGACTTTAGCCACTTAAATATTGAGTGACCAAGTACCAAGTCAGAAAAATGAGCCCAGTTAGTTTATATTCTCCTGATCGCGGAAACTGTCTGCAATGATTTTGTGAACAAAAATTCCCCATGTGAAAGAAGACGATTACAATTTTCACATGACTGTGGGACACGATGTGTTATCTTTGCGACAGTAAAACAAGTTTTGATTCTGCAGCGATTGCGGTTGATGATGGTGTCACAGTCAGAGATTTTTAAGACAGTAGACTTACAGCATTAATAGATTATATTCATGATGTTGTTGTGATGAATACCCAAAATATTTTAAAGGCCAAAAATTTAAGAACTCTTCATTCCTGTTTTATAGAATTTTTATAAGAAAAGCCTTTTTTGGGGAGTGTAATCTCGGAATATTAAAATGCTCTATGAAAGCTATATGTTTAGTTTGGGTAGTTTTTTTATGTAATTGTGATCCCAAAAGAAAATTATCATTACTTAGTTTTGCCAGAGTTGCAGTGGATGATCACTGAATAGTAAATACACAATAACTTGAATAGGCCTACAATTTTTTTTTTTTTTTTTTTTTTTTTTTTTTTTTTTTTTTTTTTGGAATAGAGGATCAGCAATTGCCCATTCCTACTTTTAAGGTTTTACTGAAACATTCATGGCTTCTCCACGTTTTATCACAGCAAACAAATTTCACGGCTCTTTCAAAGTTTTAAGGTTTTCAAGTTTGAGTGGGTAGACTCATTTGTTACGCAAATATCCTGCTGGCAAAAACTTGTTCGGTAACGCAGGAAATTCCGCCCACACAAACAATCGACAAATTTCCAGGAATCGCACAAGTCGGGTTGCTGGGATATCCCAGGAGTCGCTAGTGATCAGGATGGCTTAGAACAACATTAAGTGTCACTAGACACCACGCTTATAATCACTGCTCTAGTCGGGGGAGGTTATGGGGGGAACGATAATTTTTACATGGTTCTGTGGGTGCTACCTACTTAAAATTCTACTAACTACTAAATTATACGAGCAATAAACTAAGTAGTTTCGCCCTGCTTACCTACAGAGTTACATGTGAGAACCTGAAACGAACAAGGGTTAAAGTAGGCCTAGCCTGAGTCCCACAGAGTCTGAGTTGCACTAAACAAGAAATTTGTGTCTTAAGTTGCCCGTGAAGATAATGTAATGGTCGTAACAAAAAAATAATAAAGCTACTTTTGAAACGTGAAGTAGTTTTGTTACCTAGTTTTGCTCTCCGCCAAGTCATCTGGATCTAGGATACTAAGACTGGATGTGGAATCAGGTTTTGACACGTCGTGGCTGTTGAAGAAAATGCTTGCTCGATCTGTTGACAAAAACCAATATGTAACTAAATATTCACTAACATAAATCATGAGGTAAAATAAAAATAATCACTACCATTATCAAACAATATTTTTACCAAGGATTCACAGTTTTTTTTTAAGAGATAAGGCGCAGCAGTACAGAGATCATCTGCACACACAGACCTCCTTTGCTACACCATATAACCTTCTTGAATCATAATTTAATTGATTTAGCACAGAGAAGTAAGGTAAAGAGAAAACACGCTTATGGGACGTCCGTTCACTTTCAGCTATAGTAATTCGCCAAAAGTACAGTTCTAGGTGGAAAGTATTTATTTCAGAAAAGGTGATCTGTTACTTGTACAGTACAGGCAAAAAGCAAACCGGAAGCCCGATTTTGTAATCACAACTGCCCACAATGCTGAGGATGGAATTGTTCAAAGCAAAAAGGGACTTGTTGGCCAAAAGCCTCTTTTGATACACAATTAAAATCAATCAATGGGTGGAATCAACGTCAACGATAAGTCGGTCTACCATATGACTTGTAACCGTTCTACCACAAAGTATTGGAAGAAGATTTTTTTTTCAACTTTATAGACATTTGTATGGTAAATGCATATACTCTCTACAAATCAAACACGGACAACCCACTGGAGAGAAGAGATTTCCACATAGAAATCATCGAAGCTCTTGTAGCAGCAGGCGTTCCTCAGGAACCTCTACCTGTCCCTGGACCTGCCGATTTATTTATGTTGGAGATCGACACCGCCTTGACAAGCTGCCGAGGAAATGTGAAAGGAAGTGTATGGTATGCAGCAATGGAAGAACAAGATTCTGGTGCCCTGGATGCAACATAGGAGTGCACCGTGAATGCTACCATAACCTACAGCACTTCTGGAGGCCAACTCGTGGTGCTAAGCGGAGACTGCATAGAGAAAGTTCCGACTCCGAATAACATTTGTGATCACAATTTCTTTCTGTCTTCTAGGGGACTAATGTTTTTACTGTGCCTAAAAATTGTTTTCTTTATACATTGTTCCAAAGATTATTTAGGTAGTTAATTTTTGTTTTACAAAAAGTGAATTTTTTTTATAACTTTGTTTGATTGTTTTGGTTGAGTGAACACTTGAAGTAAAAACATTTCCGCCTCCCCTTCAGTTTCATGGTCGATAGTAATTGAAATATTTTTTAGATAAGTACATTTATTTTTATGCATTCATTGATGTAAAACAATAAATAATGAGTATTTTGTGGTATGCATGTGTGTTTTGAAGTATGTCTGCAAATTCATAGAATCTTGTAATATTGAGTGATTTCGCAACTGTTCTTGTATTATATTTTTTCATATAGCTAACCTAAAAATTAAGCTAAACTACTAAAATGCATGTTATCTTTTTTGTTATAATATTTAGAAATAAATGGCTATCTCGGATTTTTCATATGGTTGAATTTGTTTCTAAAACAAGGGGCACAAACATTTGAAATGTTTTTTTTAAATTTTTTTTTCTCAAAGCATTTTTTACTCATCAAATATGCATGAAACCCAAACATCTATGCTGCATTATGATCTCAGTGTATTTAGCTTCACAAAAATATATAACATGGTATGGTTCATCTGAAAAAAAAATTTTATATAATTTTTATACATAATGCTGCGTAACGCCCAAAAATCGCCTGACACTACAGAAAAAATGACAGACACCACGAGGGTTAATCCACCTTACACCTTTAAACCAAATTTCCTCAAAATCAGACAAAAATTAATCAAGTTATCACGTTCACGGACACACACATATATATATAAATCTATAAATCATATGTTCTCAAAATTCAACTACTGTGTTTGTAAACAGTTCATATTTGTTTGTTTTGTTCATTTTTACATATTTTATAATTTCTCTTTGCTTTAAAATGTTTGTATTAAACGAAAATTTGCAATGTTTCATGTCTCATTTATCATAACGCTATCAAGAAATCCTCAAGAATAATATAAATATATATATATATATATACATATAATAAAAATTGAACGAATGGTGTTTTTGGCCTCTCTGGGGACATCAAAATGAAAAAGTAAATTGGTCCTGGGCCTAGGTCTTACCATGCCACCTACGGTAATAGCTACTTCCCTATAGGGAAATTCACTAAAATGGTAAATTTAAAATTCTCATGCTATATTCTTATGGAGAATAAGTAAACTCTGTTGTAGTTTGCTTGTTTATGAACATATTTTATCAAATTTGTAGGATGCATTTATATCTTACTAAACTATTAACATTTTACCCTTCCTGTTGCAACAAACCTAAGTACTCGTTAAACTAATTCTATTTAAATAGGGAATGGATGTGATATTTTTAAGGAGACATTTAGTGTAAATCCAAATCAGGCAAATGGAAATGTGCTTAGTTTACTGCGGCGGGTGGCTTGGCTAAAGAAGTATAGCTTCCTTATTCATATTCATTTTCATTTGATTCATTACCTAGGCCTAATAGGGACAAAGCTGTAACCTCATTCACTCAATGCTCGATTGCTCATCCTTCATGCATCTCAGATCTAAAATACATACCCTTAGGTTTCGGCATCCAATCAAACGCATCTAAACAATCTTAATACTTTCAGCACCCAACGATTCAAGGGGATCATTGAGGAATTGACCCCTCTTCAAAACTGTAACTTATGATTGTTCCAAAAACAATGCTTCAGACTTAAATCCTATATATAATACGAGTAAAGTTTGAATACTTGTCAACTCGATCTGGGAATCGGCTCTAACAAAAACGTTTATATTTACGGAATAACTAAGTTCTGTGTCAAAAATAAGTTCTAGACCAGTGGTATAGCCAGGAAAAACCTATTTTCGCCATAATATGAGTACAAACTTTTGAAAATTTAACATGGGCCTTATGAGAAAACATTCCGCCATTGTTGTCATTTTGTTTACATTTTAAGACATAACGTGACGTTCTGTACCCACAGGCACCTCAGCTTGCGCATGCTCAGAAAGCTCTTGAAGCACTTTCCGAGAATATCAATCAATCAATCAATCAATCAATCAATTTATTTATTGAACTATACTGAATATGTAGCATATGTTTACGCAGACCAAAAGGAAATAACAATGAGTTAGGAAAAATCAAAAGAAATGAACAAGATGATCCCATTGAGCATATTATACTACAACTGAAAAACCAATTTCTGTCAATGTCGAGTATGGTGGTTAAATTAACGAGAGGATGGAATAATCTTTAATCAGCTTTAACTCATACACCTCCTTTTATATTTATTGGGTAGCAGATTTGTGCTTTATTTATTTTGACTTAACTATTATTTCACGTGCAATTTCACTACATTCGCTATTGTAATGAATCTTATGGGAAGGGAGGAAAACAGGTCCGCGACGTAGGAAGTGGTGATGAAGTAGTCAAGGCGAGCTGTCCGGAGTGTAGGAACTGTTTATGACGATTAGAAAAATTAAATTAAGGTATTAGCATTCCTAAAATGCTATGGGAATGGAGGGAAACAGGTCTGAGACGTAGGAATTGGTGAAGGGAGTAGTCAAGGCAAGCTGTCCAGAGTGTGGGAACTGTTTATGACGATTAGATTAAGGTATCTGGAATCCTAAAATGTGATGGGAATGGAAGGAAACAGGTCCGCGACGTAGGCAGTGGTGAAGGAAGTAGTAAAGGCAAGCAGTGTGGAGTTTGGGAATGTATTTATGTATCTGCAATACTAAGACTGCTTTCAGAGTAAAGTAATGATTTTCCCTGAGCAAAGCTCGGTTCCCAGGTACTTTTGAATTAACTAAATTATTATTTTGTTTTATATTTTGATTATTGAAATCTAGTTCATTTATCACAAGAAACAATCCCATGTAGTCACAAGACCTTTTTGAAGTATTTATTCTTATCAGTATGAATTATTATCATTGTAACTTACCAGTACTGTAGTTATAACTGTATTTCAGGAAAGAACACACCAATAACAAAACATGTAAAAATAAAAGCAGAGAAAACAATGGTTGTAAATCTGAAGACGGAGGAGCTGGGGAGTAAGTATAGATGTTCACCATCAATATAGGTTCTCCATCAAGCTCTTATCACACCCAAAAGAGCTAGATCAAATTTGAGAACAACACCGTGTTCCTTATTTCATACACTAATTTTTAGCTCGTTCCCCTTCATAAAGGACGATTAGAATGGTCAAAGTATTGTAACAAGTTACACAATTACAATACTGTATTTCAATATTTCAGATGCAAGACGTTTATGAACCACCTGAGGGGGAGAAAAGTGAATATCATGGTGATAAAGATACAGTTGAAGAGGAAAAAATAGAGGAGCACAGAGTGGAACCTACAATCATGGAATCTAAAGAAAGCGCAGAAAAAGTCGATGACACATGTGAATCCTCAAGGACAGGTTTACATATCTTAGAACTATTGTATGAAGAGTTAAAGCGTATACCAAATGAAGTAAAAATGAGTAAAACTGACTATGAAATGGGTGTAAAAAATATTATCGAAAACAGATCTGAAGCATTAGCCAAAGAAAATTTGATCATTGTAAGATTTGATATTGACAAAAAAACCAATGATGTTTATATTTTTGTGGAAGATATTTTACCATCAGGGGACATTTCAACTAAACTGTCATTAGTACCATCACTCATAAAGAAACAAGGTTCAGCGTTTGAAATCACAGTAGGTGAAGGCAGTCAATATGAAGTGAACAAAGTCAGTTCAACCACAGTTGCTGCAAAGGTGGCTAAACTGTCATTAGTACCATCACTCATAAAGAAACAAGGTTCAGCGTTTGAAATCACAGTAGGTGAAGGCAGTCAATATGAAGTGAACAAAGTCAGTTCAACCACAGTTGCTGCAAAGATGGCTAAACTGTCATTAGTACCATCACTCATAAAGAAACAAGGTTCAGCGTTTGAAATCACAGTAGGTGAAGGCAGTCAATATGAAGTGAACAAAGTCAGTTCAACCACAGTTGCTGCAAAGGTGGCTGATGTGAAG